AGGTAAGGCATCATATGGAGAACTAGCCAAGTAGTTTCAAATACATTTATAATCACCAAAAAAAGAGTCTCTAAAAGCAATTCTAAAATGGGAAACGAAACATTCAGATTTTAGTGGACTGTTTACAAACATAGGATGAAATTTGTTATTACACAGTTTGTATTTTTGTAAGGAGGAACAGTTTCCCAGTTATATTTATTATAATGATGGATGATAACTGTAAACATAATTATACTGGCATGACCCATCTTTTGAATGTTTTGCTACTGATGCAAGCTGCTTTTTCAGTTTGATTTTGTTTAGGTTCATTCTGCTCTCAAATAACAAATAAACACACTCGTACCTTTTACGGCATTGCCACAATGGTAGGTATAGCTAAAGGGTTATAGAAGTTGCAGAATTATGGAGATATTGGTTGGAAATGACCTCTGAGGTCAGCTGGTCCAGCCACCCGCTTGAAGCAGGACTGTTACCAGCAGTAGGTCAGGTCAGCCATGGCTTTGCACAGCCAGGTCTGGAAACCTCTTTCTTCAGTTAGTGGGTGGCCCTCTCACTTTGAGTCCCTACTGTCCCCAAGGGTGCTCCCATGATCTGTGGGTCAGGGTCCTGCTGGCCACCATTCCCATTTCCTTACCGCCCCTCCTGACAGTTTCCAACATTATGGCTTTCCTGGGCAACTGCAACTCAGGCAAATGTTTCCCCTAATCAGAGTGCCCCTGTTAACTTGTACTACAATTTTAGAGCATGAATTTTACTTTTTGCCTGCATCATGGAGTTCTGTGCTATCCTGTGGATTTTTGTGTAGTCCTAAAACTGAAAATCGGAACTCAGGTGTTCTGAAATACAGAGGAGGAGGAGGATGGCTGCTCATGAATGTGGCATTTGTATCTTTACATGCCATAGGCTTTCCTTTCTGTCACCTGCAACTGGCAGCATTTGATCTGAAACTTGAATTTGGCCCAGAATGCCAATGCAATATATCAAAGATGCCAGAAAACTGGCAGGATCCTGGATAACACCAGAAAGAGAGCTCTGTCTGACCTTGATTTGTGGAATTAAATGAACGTTATTGAACATTATCTCTCAAAGTTTAGCTCATCTTTTTGCTTTCCAAATTTATAGTGCCAGTTCTACCCAAAGTGTTGGCCAAACCCGAGAATCTATCTGCGTCTTTCATTGTTCAGGAAGGTAACATCACTGGTCATTTTTCCTGGAAGATATCTAAGGCAGACCTTCACCAGCCCATGACAGGGTTTCAAGTCACTTGGGCAGAAGTAACCACAGAAAGCCGGCAGAACAGCTTACCCAACAGCATCATTTCGCAGTCACAGATACTGCCAGCAGTAAGTTGTTTGTTACTTTCCTTTGCTAGCAGCTTCGTAAGTGTGGGCGTACGTGGCCTATTTTTAATGTTTAATGGTGAAGCAGATGTCACACATAGCATTCTCTGGCTCTGCAGGCAAGTTGGAGCAGGAAGTGCTTAATTTTTCCTCCTTGCTGGAGATATAAAGCACTGCTACTCCTCTTGATGACGCATCAAACGCTTTAATGTGCACAACTGTCAAATTAGCAACCGTTGTCTGAGAAATGCCTGAAGGGAGGACAAGATCATCTGTGTGGCAATAGATATTTTTTATTTTCTTTTGATGATTAGGCTGTTCAAATTGGTGGTTACTATAGTTTTACTAATTATTTGGTGTCCAAGTCGATGGATTTAAGAGAATTTTCTCTTTGAGTCACTCATTGCTCTAAGAAAAATAAAAATCACTTCCCCATCTGCCAATACGCACCATTGTCCAATGGACACAATTTAACGGAGAACTGGGTTTCACCATTTATTGAAAGTGCAAGAATTAATAATTTGGATTCTTCCTCCTATTTGCTTTAAAATGGCCTTTGCTATTTCAGTTCCTCCTCTGGCAGAGGCAGGTGAAGAGCACTTCATTCAGACTCTGCTGCCAGATCCACCAGAGTCAACAAAAGGACTTAAGCAGCTGGCCAAAGTCTGCTAACAACGTTAGGAGTCTTTCCGTTCACTTCAGGGAAGTGGATCAAGGCGATTGTGCCTCTTGTTCTAGGGGAGAGCGACAAAGTTGACTGCGGATGCTGTAAAACTATGGGGCAAGCTATCACGCAGTGTGTGGAGCTGCTTTGTTACGGTTTGGTACAGACTCTGTGTGATCCACACCGATTCACTCAAAGCTCAGCCTGCAGTCAGAGCAGAAGCATGGTGCAGACACAGCCTTGGTCTCTTCAGCAAAGGTTACCTTCAAGTGGTTACTCAGTCACAGACCTTTGGCTGCAAACAGCCACTTTAACCCAATGAAAAGCAAAGTTAGAGACCGTGAGTTGTTGATTTTCACTTTGTTTTTCATCTTTTTTTTTTAGGAGTAGGTGTATGTTCCTTTTTTTAAGTTTTTGGTCCAGTTAGGTCTGAAATTATAGATAAAGTTTTATTTAAACCACTCTTTTACATTGTGTTATACTTTAATATTTTGTCTTTGTTTTCCTCTGGTTTTACTACTGTAAAGCCTGGAGATTCCTTTTGTTAAATTATCTATCACTATACGTATCTGCCTATTTATGGCAAATGGTTAACTTGCAGAAAACTCTGGTGTTGAAACAGTGTCTCCTACCTCTCAGAAACCACCAGAATGTGGGGTATTTTACGGTGAGGATCATTCACTCATTCTTGTTGGTAGCCTCTGACTGATAAAAAAATAATATTTACACAACCAAGGCTGAAACGCCCAGGTCCCAACTGCCGGAGGAGCACCTGAACGAGCAGATCGAGTGTGTATGAGTCTGATGTACGCACTTCTCTCTCTCTTCTGCCCATTCAGTATTTTATACGAGGTGGAACAGCTTCAGCAAGATCTATTAAGAGCAGCCTCATCTCAGAATATTCACTAATTTGGCAGTAAAATGACACGTTTCCCCTCACCTTTTCTCTCTCTCCTTTCCCGTTTACTGTCTGCTCTGGCAGTAACAGCAAATTATCAGGTATTCCCACAGCTCACTTAGGCCCCTCCGCATGGCACTGGGAGCAGTGCCACCAGAAGGACTTGCCCTGCAAACTCCTGGCCAGGCCAGGAGCACACCATGCCCGCACCGTCCGGTGTCACTGTCCCCTTGTCTCCTTCCTGGGACTGGGCCTTTTCACCTTGGAATAAGATGAATCAGGACTTTTGATCCGTAATGCTCTTTAGTCTTTAGCCAGATGTATTCCTGTTTGGCAGCATGTATAAACTTACTCTGAAATTATTTCGCACAGGTGTAAGTGACCACAAAAGGTATGGAGCAGTGAAAAGTGAGTCCGTCGTGCCAGAAACGGGATTAAGAACAGAAGGCAAATTCTTACGGTGTAACTGGGACAAACCTGCTGAAATCAGTGTAGCCACACTTATTTTCACTAGTTGCAACAGGGGCCTCAAGCTTGCCGTTAATTAATCTACTAATTAGTAGAATTCACAGGCAGATCCAAAAATAAAAAAAAATATATATAGTGAACATGTTTGTTAAAAAGAATGATTAGGAAGTTTAGTTTGTTGTTTTTCTTTTTAGTGATGAGTGCATTGTCCATTTTCCAGAACACTAAGGAACAACTTGGACCTCTTGCCCATGAAAATATAACATTATAGTAAAAAAGTCTACTCGAAAGGAATGGCAAGCAAAAAATTCAGAACAAACTCTGTCAACAAAGTGATGCATACTTGAAATCCTTTTAATTCTAAGGAAATAATTTGTGAGTGACGAGAGTGACAGAACCTGTTTAAACCTCTGATTAGTGTGAGCAGAGCAACCGTGTTTTATTTTTAGATGCTCTGAGAATTAATGCGATTTATTTATTTTCAGGATCATTATGTACTTACCGTGCCCAATCTGAGGCCATCGATGCTGTACCGCTTGGAAGTTCAAGTGCTGACGACTGGTGGGGAAGGACCAGCCACGATAAAATCGTTCCGAACACCTGACCTTCCTCCGTTTTCACCACACAGTAAGTACTACAGCGTTTTGACATGTGGTTACGTGTATCAAAACTGCCGTCCTCCACATGTAAACAGTTTGCTCGAGCCTTAGAGTCTTTATTGGTTCCAGTAGCATTCCATAAATTTAGGATGCGTGAAAACATTGGGTTTTTCCCCCATCAACAATGATGGAAGCAAGTGCAGTCTTTCTCTCCCTCAGTTTCTCTGGTCTGACATTTGCCATTCATTCCACCACAGCTCTTTGGCTTATGCCTATAGCACTTGGGATTCAAAGTTAGTCTGTCCTCCAGGTATCACCTAGGCCTGGGGTTCTTTATCTTTCAAGATTAGATTTTTCTGGGTGCATTCAGTCCAGCATGGCTAGAACCTGATCGTATTTCTAAAGCAGTGCAAACCTCTTAATGGCCATTTCCAGCATTTTATATGTTTCTGAAATGTACAGCTCAGTGTTGTGAAACCCATTAAAAAATATAATGAATTAGTCCAACATTCATCTGCTTGAATCTTTTTGTCCTTTCACAGTCCCACTAAAGTTGTCTGTACTGAACATGCACATAGTTGTCAGCCCAGGCAGTTCATGTATAAGCTGAAGGATTGCGTCCTGAAGGCCTCATGACACCTTTTTAGTATGGATCAACATTGGTAGTACATATTCAGGGTCTGATATTTGCGTATTTTCCTATTCTTTCGTTTAGGACCTCATCTGAAACAGCATCACCCACATCACTACAAGCCACCCCCAGAGAAATATTAGACTGTTTCAGATGATTATACAAATAACTGCGAGAAAAACTGAGCACCCAAATGGGGGCTGAGAAAAGGCACATCTGTAGAAGCAATGAACCCAGTTTTCCAGTGGAAGGTACCATCCTGTACGATCTGTATCTACTTCTTTGTAGTTTAGCCATGAAGAATTGTATTTGCACCAAGACCAGGATGAAACATACAGCAAGGATCATTTCAGTACCACCAGTATTCCACAAACTGAAGATGGCATCCAACTCAACACCTGTGAGAAAATCAGAAGTGTGTTCATTATAATGTTTTTGTATTTCTATGTTTAAAGTAGATTGAAACGGTGCAGTGTATACAGCTTTTACTTTTAGTGACTTCAAGGTTAATGTTTGCAAGGTTGTCCTGTAATGTATAAATACTATTGAACACTGGAGGCCATGTTCTCATCAGTGTGTTTAAATGATGTATTTTACTTAAAGCTCTGCCTTCACCACTTTAAGCCCTAGTGTATTTTGCTATTAAAGAAGATCTCCATATGTCTGAAATAAGGATGTAAAGTAAAATAAATACCATTAGCAAAAACCCTAAAATAGTCAGTATTTAATAACTGCAGTATTGCCACAGAGGAGGAGGATGATACGCTCGTATCACCCATCTGTTCTGAAGTGGTAACTTTTTAGCATGTAGATCTTCTATTAATGTAGTTAGTAGCTAAAGAATATACAGGGTAGATGTACCATTGTAAAGAAACAAATGGCAATTAATAGAATTGTTGACAATTAATGGCAATTAATACAATTAATTGATAGGTCCTGGAAGAATTACTTTTGAAATCCCCCTTACATTTTTTTGATATGTAATATTTAAAAGTATAATAATATTTTGAAAAGAAACACCAATTTTCTAGTTAAAAATCTGAATAGTTAACATTTTAGAAACTGAAATTCTGAGGCACATTTATTATTCAAGTAGCCACAGAGCTACTTTTTGGCTTTGGGTTTTGATGCGCATATTTCTTTTCCCCGAGGATCTTTTGAACAGAAGGATGGATGTATTGGCTCTATTCTGCTGTTCTGCTTACAGAAAGAATTATGTGACAATATTCTGGCATCTGGAAAACATTGGCTTATGGTTTATTTGAATGCATTTTTCAAATTTAGACAGAAGGGTGCCCTTTTTAACCATAAGGGAATTTATATTGCCTTATTGTGCAATATAAACTGTCTAGAATAATTTGCCACACAGAGAGACATACCTTGATAGTAAACAGAAACTGCTTAGATTTATTATCGAAAGGGTGGAAAGTATCTGCCTATAAAAGTCCATACAAATACTCATAATCAGCTTCTAATGTTTAAGATGTTCAAAGTGCTCCTGCATTCTTTGGCACCGTTTCCATTGCTCCCTGAATCATCATATGAGGTGAACGTACCTTGAACACTCAGGAGTCAAACTTGACAAGGTGGCCACTTTTTCTACCAGCAGACGCTGCAGACTCACCTGTACTTCATGTTTGCCTGAGATACGCAGTGAGAGGGGCTCAGACATTAGTGGTAAATACATTTTCCTTCTCTTGATGACAAACTGTGTTGTGGAAAAGCAAATATCAAGAAAAGAAATACATACCTGAAACTGAGGATCAGAGTTATGTTTATCGTAGCAGAGCGTTCACAAAATATTCAAATACAGTTTGTCTATACTGAAGCTTTTAGCTTTTTGTTTCAAGTGGGTTAATACCGCAGAGAGTGAAGGAAACTGAATTAATTTCTGATCACTTGCTCATTCCAGTTTTCCTACATTTCTACCTTCAGTTTTAAAGGGCTCTATTTTTTCCATTCTCTTTCTACTTTGCTTGTTGTCTTTTTTGATATGCGCTCAGTGACCAAGAGCTTCTCCAGACATTTTCTATTGCTACATGATTTGGGCCTTTAACAGTAGTTTTAAAAATATGAAAGGCCATGGTGCTTTTAATTCCTTCCTCTATCATTCTGTCATCTCCCCTTTTCCAAAACACATTAGCAAATAAACAGATGAACTCTTCTTCATAAAATCTGTAGTATAAAGGTTTATTTTCAATTTTGGAAGAAGGCCAGAGTCTCAGAGATTTTTGTCAGGATGGAAATGTTTTTGTGTGTACAAGTCTTTACAAAGAAAACACAATTTGGATCGGACCAGTGTGCAGCACTGCTTCAACATTTAGATTGCACAGGGCATCGGTAAGACTGGAAGTGATTTCCGTGGTGTTTGCTGAGAGCAGGAGTCAGTGGGATCAGGGAAAGTAATTACCTCAGGCTTCTCTGGAAACTTCTGTCCAAACCTTTCAATCACAGTCTGTCCTAGTTATGCTGGAGCAAATCTGTAGTGACTTGATTAATGTTAATGAAATTATGTTTCATTCATAGTGACATGTTAAAGCATAGAACATGGATGTCGGTCTTTATTACAATGATGCCAAATCTGCCTTGGAGATAAACTGGAAGTTAGCAGCCTTGAGTGATCATACCCTTAGTCGTGGTTCCTGAGGGGAAGCCTCTTTCTTCTGAAATGAATCAAAATGGTTACTGTTTGCTGATGGCAGTCTCTTTGAAGCATTCAAATTTTAAAAGTAACAATGTGCTTTTGCAGAACATGGAGGTGTTTTCGCTTTTAAAGTAGATTCTGGAAATAAAGAAAAAAGTTGATAAAGTGGAATTGTATTGAACAAGTGTATTATATAGAGACCACTGAGATGTAAATTATTTTTTTCCTTCTACAAATCAGCTTATCGACTCACCTTTCAAGTCACGCTGCAAATCAAAAATGAAAAATACAAGGTCAACAAAGCAACAAATGCATGGATGTTAAATTCCCAACTATGAGTGCTTTCCTGATTATTCTTTGAATTTAGCAGTACAGATTTGAAGTTGTTAGTGCCTAATTCATAAAGCCTTGTTTGCTGGATTGTGCAGGATAGTGTCCTAATTTACTAGCCTAAGTCACATTAAACATTTAATTCAGCAATAGAGTTGTGATTCACTAGTTAAAGATTTATTTTCTCTAATGATGTTGTGTAATACAGAGTTAATATAGATATTGGGATGTATTTAGATACTCTGCACCTTTAAACTAATGCATTGTTTGCGCTGTACAGTTCTGATGGATTTGTCGTTTGACTTCAGGAGGCATTTTGTTTATTTCTTAAAGGAGAGTTATAAGATGATGCCATTTTTGCTAGCTGCTTTGTGAAGTAGAATCTTTTTTTTTGTTCATCGGTGATTTTTGTTTAAGAAGAGAATGGTTTGGTCTTGTTATATCTTTCTTGACTATTTTTGAGTTGTTTATAGAGCAGGAGAAATTCAAATAAGACAGAGCTTGTGATGTACTATTGTGTGTATCATCTTGAATATTCATTAAGAATATGATACATAGACAATAAATAAGAGGTCTGACTTCTGAAATGCTGGACATCCTCAACTTAGTGGCTTCAGAAAGAGCTGAGGACGCGGTGTGGCAATGCTAACATTGACATTAATGTTTGGTATGGTCACACACAAAATCAAAAAAACCCACTCATTGCTAATGGCAAGGGGAATTTTACCATTGACATTAGCAGAACTGTATAGAAACCTAAATACTGAGTCAATTTATTCCACAATACTTTCATTTCCATGCTCCCAACTGGAGTCAGGGAGAGTTTCAGATAAGCAGACCCTGATTCAGGAAGGTATGCAGAAGAGGAAACTTCCATATGCACAAAAGAAATCAGTGGGATGGAAGTAAACCATTGCAGTTAAGAATGAGCTTTAGTGATGTCTTGAATAAAGCATGGATGTCAAAATTTGCTTGAATACTGTCTTAAATCAGGGCCTTATAGAACAAAGTATGGGACCCAGACAGTTCTAAACTCTGTGTACAACACCACAAAAAATGTTATTTTTGTCTTGTGTATATGTAAATGTAGTTGTGACATTGACTTATTTATTAATTCATTTTCTTATACTATGTGCCAAGTATATTCCTACCCTTTTGATCAGTACCTGTGAACATCAGTTACTAAAAATAATGTTATGCAAACTTGTGCATTGTAACCAGGAATATGATGCTAATAAGCTGTTGCATGTAGTTTTAAATAATTAAGAAAACCCTTTATTTAAAAAATGTAAATGAATACCTGCAGATATTGATGATTATATATGGTTTTGCATGCCAAAACTCATTGTTCAGTTGTGGGCATGAAATGTAACGACTGTATTACCTCTACTGAATATATTAGTAAGGTACAATTTACAAAGTAATTAACAGAGCTCTATATGTAAAATTTTTCCTTTCTACTTAATTATGTTGTAGTAGAGGTGACAGAACTGCTTCTCTGTTACCCAAATTGGCTGTAGAAATTATGTTCCTGTAACACTCATTTAAAGTCAATATTTATTTATGTATGTAATACAAAAAGATTGATCTTATGTGTCTGTCCTGTTATTTAGAGAAAAAAATACACTTCTTGTAAAAAATAATTTGTACAAAAATGTAAATGTAAATAGAATCTGATTTCTTTTACTCATTATTTTCATGTTTAGAATTTGTACATACTGTTTAGGTAATAAACTATCCTACATCAAAATCTTTCTACATTATCTCCTCCATACAGAATTTATAGTTTTGTTTTTCTTAAGTTGAAGACATAGAGTCATCTAAGAAAAATTACTGTCGCGCCAAATACTTTTGCTACATCTATATTTCATTGTGTATAAAGTCATACTGATTTATCCTCTGTTTACTACAGCATTTTGTTTTCTTTAGAAAGAGATCAAAATAATCTGAAAATAAATTTAGGTATCATTTGAGCCTTTTACATTGAAAAGCAATCCTTGAAGTAAAAAATTAGAGTCAAGAACTTGCCATCCCTTTCTCTGTTTTAATGGACTAGTTCACAGTGAAGATTTGCTCACGTTTTGTAATATTAACTTTAAGTAATTAAAGTGTTTCTGGATCTGTGTCAGTGGCCTGATCCTTCAAGTCAAGATTTTCATGATTGAAAATCATGGTGAAATCTATGTATACACCAGATTTGGAATATTTTCTATTTTTAAGTGCCGTATCCTATGATTTAAATTCTATATTTTTAATAAATATAAACATCTGTCTTAGTACAAACATTTAACTGTTTCAAATTGTCATAGATGTGCTATCATTCTCAGATGCAATATCTTTAGTTTGGGGATGCGCCTTTGACTTACTCTTGACTTACCTAATAA